AAAGTAACGTCACACTGTGTTCCCGGTGTTACGGTTTAACTGGTGACCGTGTTATCTGGTGACCAACTTTCTGGTTCAGGGGCCCGTTCTTCGTACATCGCTTATTACATCCGAGATGAAATGTCACATCCAAGATGATATCATCGCGCTAATCAGGATCTTTTGTTCCTGTTGTTCCATCCAATTGTTGATGATTAGTATGGCTGGATTGAGTTATCTGAGATAATTGCGCGTTCATGGGTTGGTTTAAAAGGGGTTATGTATCAATACTCTAAACCACGATCAGCAATGCAGCGGCGGAGGGGTCAGCGCACCCCTTCTTGCTGGCGGCAAGACAGCAACGTAATGACATCATATAATTAAAAAAGACACCTGACAAAAAACTTGACAAATTTCTGGACTTTTATAAGGAAACGGCCAAGCGAACAAAACTACATAAATGTTATAATAGATAAATGAAATGTGCACTGTTTTTATTTTATTTCATTATTCAATCGGCAAATCTCCTGCGGAAGTCATTCATTTTCAATGTGAGCTGGCGGCGAGTGAAGGTGAACCGGAGGGTGCTGCCGAAATTATTTCAGTATTGTGATGTATTTGCAACTGAAATCAAATATTGAATAGAGGATTTTTGGTTAAAGATTACCAAGACAAACAATTTTATTCAGTGGATTCATTTGCATGGATTAATTGTTCACTTTAAGACTAGCAATGTACGCTAACAAAATAAATATAGTAAATTTTGATTTCATGTGGGCTAATTAACCTTATAATTTTATCCTCGAATGTTGTTTCCCTTATGTGGGTTGTGGCTAGAAGGGATACGGCTATGGCCGGAAGCTAACAATAAATGTAATTTTCTACCTATTAGATTGTTTTATTAATGCCTACACCTACCCCTTACAATAATGAAAAAAACTGTTGTACAGTGTGACAAAAATTACATTATATTGATGTGTGCATAACCAGTAGTTTAAGATTTATCCCTTCTAGCCTTATCTTTTTTTTCACCGCACAGAAACCACAACCAGAGACATAATCTGTGCATTAATTTATTTACTACATATACATTTCTGTGCATATATTTATTTGTTAATTTATTATGGTTTTATGCTTCTTTGTGCTCCAGATTTACCATATGTTCATGTCTTTGCAAGGAAAGCTCCTGCTGATGAAAGTAAGCAGGTTCTGACTTGTCTGGCCACTGGTTTCTACCCCAGAGATATATTCAGATGTACATTAGATTGAACAGAAATAAACTTGCGGATCAAACATCTTCTGGAATCAGACCAAATGCTGATGGGACCTTTCAGCTGAGAACCAGTGTGAAGATCGACAGAAACCACGAAGGATCTTATGACTGTTTTTTCATTCACAGCAGCCTGACAGAACCAGTTTCTGTAGAATGGGGTAAATATCACCATAAATGCAGTCTTTTCTGTATACTTAGATATAATTATGATCATTTACTCACATGAATATGTGAATAAGTGTGAAGAATATAAAACAGAACCAATTTTTTTTTGGAAAAAAAAATCATTATTTTAATTCATTCTTTGTGCTCCAGGTAAACCAGATGTTCAATTCCTGGTGAGAGTAGTCTGGTTCTGACTTGTCTGGCCACTGTTTTCTATCCCAGAAATATTCAGATGAACATTAGATTGGATGGAGCTAAACTTGAGTGTCAAACATCTTCTGGAATCAGACCAAATGCTGATGGGACCTTTCAGCTGAGAACCAGTGTGGCGATTGACAGAAACCACGAAGGATCTTATGACTCTTTTGTCATTCACAGCAGCCTGACAGAACCAGTTTCTGTAGAATGGGGTAAATATCACCATAAATGCAGTCTTTTCTGTATACTTAGATGTAATTATGATCATTTACTCACATGAATATGTGAATAATGTAAAGAATATAATAGTTTTTCAAATAGAAACAAATGTACATTTTGTTAATTGAATTATGATTTTATGCTGCTTTGTGCTCCAGGTAAAACAGATGTTTATATCTTTGCGAGGAAAGTTCCTGATGATCACAGTAAGCTGAATCTGAGCTGTCTGGCCACTGGTTTCTACTCCAGAGATATCGAGATATACATTAGATTGAACAGAACTCAACTTGAGGATCAAACATCATTTGGAATCAAACAAAATAAGGATGGATCCTTTCAGATGAGAACCAGTGGAGATCAACAGAAACCTCTTATGACTGTCTGGTCATTCACAGCAATCTGAGAAGACCAGTGTCAGTAGAATGGGGTAAATATTAACAAACACAGTCTTAAGTGAATATGGGCAGAATGAGCTTTATACACTAATGGTGCTTCTGCATCACTCATATTGTAGCAGGGGAACATGATCATTCTGAAATAGATTATTGTTTCTGGTCACAAACAATTACAGTAAAAGTGCCTTGATTCAGTTCAAGCACAATGCTGATTAAAAAGCATTGTTACGTTCCCAGTTAGTCTAGGGTTAGAGGAACAGGTAACGGAATAAAAAGATGATGTGTGGAGGCAGCAAGGTTCAATTACCAACCCCAGAGCTTTAACAAAGGCCAAGAATCATCTCAATATCAAAACAAGTTATTTTATTTTACAGATATGGGAGGATGTCAAAACTTCAAGAGGGGGCAAGGCCAAAATAACAAACATAAACCCTCTAACTATTTGGGAGAAACTAACTAAGCTAGACAAAGAAAAGAAAACAAAAATACAATAGAAATAAACTACCTCCCTAACTAACATAAAAACAAGATTAAGAAAATGGCACCCACCTCTCTACTAACACATTCCCAATAAATTAACGATGGATGTTTAATAGGTAACAAACAATGTGATTTCTTGATTTCTTGTCGTAGGCATCAAATGCCACAAGAGTGTTAACACAAAAACACTGTAAAGTACGGAAGTTCTAAGCGGCCATGCATTATTATTTTTTTCCTTCTTGTTTTCTCGTTATAACGACTTATTTTGTCGTTATATCGACATAACGGGAGTTGTTTTCTCGTTATAACGACTTAATTTTCTCGTTCGAACGAACTCAACTTTGACACGCATCTGATGGACAGATAAACCATGTGCTCTTACTGTAGCCTAGGTCGTGGATATTTCAGCACATTTAGCTTCGCCTAGTAATAATAACAAATAAAGGCTGATCAATCACGGTTGATATTTCCAGAGACAGTACGCTAAACAGAACATCCCCGCTTATTAACTAACAATCATGTACCTCAAACAAGCACAAATAAAGATATAGGTGCAAACAGTATACAGTGACGTCAACCTTGGTTTTAATAAGCAGTTATTATTTTATGACACAGAACCTCATGCATCTAGCAAGAAGTTAATGCACAAAATAGTCATATTAATTCAAGCATTTAACATTTATGAATGAATTAAATGTCAGTAGCCTAATGAACAATACTGTACAAATTATAGCGATCACGAGGTAGGTCCTATTCTATCCCAAA